AGAGCATATCATCGGCAGGTGGCTGCGGCAGTCATCTTTATTGATTTGAGAGCTGCTTTTCACTCAGTCACCCGCGAGCTGATCTTAGGTCCCGATTTGGGAGATGCAGAAGATCTGCGCATCCTGCAGCAAACTTTGCATCAGGAGGGCCTCACGTCGGATGACATCTCCCAGCTTCTTCAAGCACCTCGCCTTCTACCTGACTGCATGGTAACCAGACTTCTACGTGAATTGCATAGCCGTACATGGGCTACACTACATGGTGAGGCAGTCCGGACTACCAGGGGAACCCGGCCTGGAAGTCCTCTCGCGGATGCTATGTTCCATTGTCTGATGGGACCGGTGGTGGGTGAATTGGAAACAGCCATCAGTGCACGTCCTCAACAGCATCAGATGAGAGAGAAATGTGGCACGATTGGAGCTTCCATTGTGTGGGCTGACGATCTGGCTGTGCCGGTGTTGGCTTCCTCTAACGACATGCTCTTTGTGGAAGTTGGGCAGATTTTTCTCGAGATTGAGAAGGCCTTCATGAAGAAAGGTATGACCTTGAACATGTCCAAAGGCAAAAGTGAAGCATTGCTGACTCCGGCGGGCTTCGGTGCAAAGCAAGCTCGAGAACAATTACGTCTTCAACCTAGGCTAGAGTTGGACACTTTTTGTCTTGGCCCAGGCCCACGCGCTTTGTCGCTCGGAGCTCAGTACAAGCATTTGGGCACTACGCTTTCCGCAGGGGGATCTCTCGGACAAGAAATCCATCGGAGGATAGGTCAAGCATGGTCGGCTTTCAGATCTATGTCCAGACAGATCTTTACCAACTCTGCCATGCAGGAGTCCACACGCCTCTTTCTGCTGGAGGCATTGATTTTCACTAAGTTGTACTACGGCTGTGGTGCTTGGCCCCTCCTCAGAGCACAAGACATGCGACGTCTGCGAACCTGTCAGGGCACCTTGCTACGCCGCACCCTCCGGCAGAACAAGTTTGAGGGGAACCAGGTCTTGACAGATGTGGATATTCTGGTGAGGGCCCAATGTGTCCCGGTTCGAGTTCGGCTAGCGCAACACCGTCTTCTTCTTGCTGCGCGCTTGGTGCGGCATGGCCCCCGCTTCCTTGGTTGTGAACTTCAACGTGAATTTGATGAACTACCAGATGGATGGCGGGCGGGGCTGGAAGAAGATCTGAAGTGGTTGGCCTCAGCAATGGACTTGAGTGATTGGGGTGAGACATTTGTGGCGCTTCAACCTCATTGGCAATGTGCACGAGCGGGTTGGAAGCGACTTGTCAAACAGGCGGGCCTTAAGCACGTGCTGCTCCTGCCCAAGCTCAGTGGTCGAGCTTGCGAACGAGGAGGTGAAGAGGACACATTGCTGGACTTGCTTCATCAGGCACAATGCCAATGTGAATGTGGGATGACGTTTAGGAACAAGAGGGCTCTTCGCCTTCATCGGATTCAGAAGCATGATTGGCGCAATGCCGAACACGGCAGAATCCATGGTGCAACGTGTCCTGTTTGCCTACGCCGTTACTGGACGGTGAACAGGCTGCAACTGCACCTGCGTTATGTCTCCAGGCAGGGAGGTCCTAACAGATGTGGAACGCGGGTGCGGTTGTATGGCCTTTTTGAAGCTGGACGACCTGACCTACCTCCTGACAACTTTGTGGCCTTGCCTGGAGCTACAAGGAAAGATGCAGTGAAGCTCGCTGGACCGCGGGTCTTGGGGGCATCTGAACTGGATCTTCATTATGCAGAAGAGGAATATCTGCGGCTCAGAAACAACTTGCTGACGATTGGGGTTACCTTCGACATTGATGATGACTCCAAAGAGGCCCCCTTCTGTGCCTTTGACCAGCAATGTGAAGAGCGCTTGACCTTGGAGGGTATGCAGTGTACTTGGAAGGAGTTCCCGGTTGGTGAGTGGCTTGGAGCTTTTTTCTTGTGGTGCATGCAGCGGACCCTGAAAGGAGAGGCCCTTGATTGGTGGAAGCGCATCCTAATTGGATATGATGGTGGACCTGATTTGCTACTGGCTCACGATCTTGCCGTCCATGTTCACCGACTTCGGGAACTACAAGACAATACGCAAGTGAGAGCAGCTTATTTTGGTCCATCCACCAGTGAGGACCTTGTGCATTCTGGGCACCTGCTCCGGCTGAAGCCAATTTGGCGGGCCGGGGTGTCGGTGGCTGTTGCTCGTCTTTCGCTTCGTGACTTGCCCGAGCTGAAGTGACTTGAGCGCGCAGCTCGAATTGAGCTTTTGTCCGAGGACGGCTCTACGCCATAGGCGAATGCCTACAGATGGTTGCGAAACGAATTTCCTTTGGCTGGTGAAGCCAACCACTCCTTTTGCACAGGCAAAATCTGGGAGCTGACAAGCTCTCATCAGTTTTAGACATCTCATAGGCGTGTCCTCATCCAAACCATACAAACTCTTCAAACCAGCAAGTGTTTCACTTGACTCAGACTTCTGGCTGGAGTACTGGAGCCAAATTGCACCAGGATCCACTGGTCATCAAAAACCACAAGATGTTTTTCACAACATCTACTAAAAAGATGTCGCTCCAATGTACAAAGGATTCCAAGACATCAAACAAGCTCATTCGCACTGAGACCCTTCTGCAGAAAGCCATGCTTAACAAAACAGTATTTTTCAAGACAATACGCTTTAAATGGGTTCTTTGATTGGCACCTATACAGCTCAATTAAGATGCGATTATTCAAAAAACACCAATACTATCTACTTAAACAATATTTTTGGAACATATGGCTTTAAAAACATGATCTTAATTATATATATAGATAAGTTTTTCTTGATCTAAGCAGTATTTTCTTATTTAAGATGCATTTCTTAAATTAAGATCCAATCGTTTGGGTAGAAGCGCTAGCAGTATAGTGGTAGGTTGTAGTGGTAGTGGTAGTGGTCGTGGTGGTAGCGGCAATATCTATATGTTCCTGTGCTGGAAGTTTTGTATAGACTTTATACTAGTACTCGCTGGTGGTATCCGCGCCTGTCCCCTCTCCTCTGCGCGGATGGTCAACCATCGCCAAAAACCCTTGCCGAACCATTGCAAAAAGCCTCCCTGACGGTACCGGTCGCTCGAGGAATTATATATAACTCCAGAGTATGCGTGGAAGCCGCAAAGAAAGAACGGGAAGGCGCCGTGCCCTCCCCCAACCCTCCAACCCTCTTCCTGCAGCGTCCCAATTCTGGAAATGTCAAGCCAGTTGAACTCATTCCAAGTGAGGTGCCATATGTTCATTGGCCGACGCAGGTTCCATCGCCATAGTGCGTTGCCTTTGACGTTCCCGATCACATCGCGAAAAGGTGTGATCAGGAAGGCCTTGGTAGGTAGGTGGAAGCACCCCATTAATTTTGGACACCAAATCCTTCGCATGGTAGCGGAGCTCAATCAAGGTCCAAAGGTTTTTATGCCGTTGTGGTAGGCTTCCAAAGAACGTGTCTGTTTAAGGACGAAACAGGCCCGCCACTCAACCGCCTTCCCAGCAACACGCCGCATGTACGCCAGCATGCTTTCCACCCCCCAGTGGCACGGACTCACGCAAACACACCTTTCATCCACGCCGCGCCAAACCGCATGGCACAGCGACATCACAGACGGACTTCGGCCACACGGCGTGCCACACACTATACAATATGTCACACCCAGCCTCGTATACACCCCCATTCCACCGGCTCCCCAGCGGCGCGCCGCATTTACGCCAGCGCGCTTTCCTCCCCCCACCAACCCGAAGCTACTTCCCGTACTACACGTCTACCGCAAACTCTCCAGGTGACCAGATCTGAGGCCACCTCACACAGCAACTGCCTCCCGTATGTAAAATCTTGCCAGTTCTGAGGCCACAAGCCGAGAGGGTCGCGCAAGCGTGGGCAGAATTCGCATTTCGCTACGTTTGGGCACTCGACATGGATCCTGCGAGAGGGTGGGCAAAATTCGCATTTCACCGCACGTTCGAGCGCCCGACGCGGACGATCCTGCGAAATTCGCTTTTCCCTATACACATTAGCGCTCGACAGGCCGGATCCTGCGAGAGAGGTGCGTCGCCGCGTGACTTTTGCGTTTCCCTACACGTTCGGACGCTCGACACGAACGATCCTGCCGGCGCCGGCGCAATTCGCATGTACGTTTGGGCGCTCGACGCGACGCGCGCGATCCTGCGAGAGGGGCGCGCTGCCGCATAAGAGAACTCGCGTTTCACTACACATGTGGGCGCTCGACAGGCCGGATCTTGCGAGAGGGCTGCTTCTTGCGCACTCTCGCTTGGTCCGCCCCGGCGTTAAAGATAAGAAGGATTTGAGATGTCCAGACTTGGCCAAATCTCTCGCAAACGCTAAAACTTGGTCAAGTCTCGCGCGTGCCAAAACTTGGCCATGTCTCTTGCAAACGCTAAAACTTGGTCAGGTCTCTTGCAAATGCAAGTCTCTTGCAAGCGCTAGACTCTTATACAAGTGCTAAAGCCTGAGCAAAAACTCTTACAAGCGCTAAAGCCTGACAAGGTTTTGCAGACGCTAATTCTTGATCAAGCCTCTTGCAAGTGCTAGACTTTTACAAGTGCTAAAGTCTGAGCTAGGCAGACCAAGCGCCTTTAGGAAGAGCCCTTTGACAAAGTCTTTGGGGGAAAAAAGGATGATTCGAGTTTTTGGCGCAAAATTGAAAGCCTGTATCTGGGACCCTGAGAAGATTGCTCAGCCGAAAGCGAACAGTGCGAATGGCTGTGGTGGGCGCCGCGCAAAATCAAATCTCTCACGCAAAGCTCTCTGAAATCAAGCCGGCCCAAGTATACCCCAAGATTCGAGCCCGAAGATTTCGTCAGCGCGACCTTTCCCTGGAGGGGCAGGCAAGTACTTGTCGCTCTTCTTCAAAGCATCCAGCGTCACCGAGTGCAGTGAGCCCAATTGGCCTGCAGTCTTCGTTGTCACTCTGCTTCCAGCAATTCAACCGTTTCATCTTGCAGAACATTGGGAACTCCCGAAATCGATGCGCTCGGATTGGCGCCCGATGGCGCTTGACTATAGGAACTTGAGTTGGGTCACGCTCCACGCCAGCTTTAAAAGGATTGGATCAAGGATTAATCGGCAAAGTCGGCTTCATATCCTTGGGAGACCGTGGCGCAGTCACAGGAACATGGGCAGCTTGCGTGTGACAGCGTGGTGCCACGATCGCCGTAGCCTCAATTGACGAATACGAAGCGACCCATTTCGTCCTTAAATTGAAACATTCTTTGGAGCCGCGCCGCCACCAGATTGCCTCGCTGCGCTGCCTTTTGTGCTCTGCAGGGTGGAGCGGTTGCCTTGAATTTGGCCAATACCAAGCAGCTTATTTTGCCTGTCAATTGACACGTTCTTTGGAGACCTACAGCAACAAACTGGTCATCTGGTCGCGCTCTACTCTACACGGTGAAGCCGTTGCCTCAAATTCGGCTAATACTATGCAGCCTATTTCGCCCTTAAACTGACAGGTTCTTGGGAGACTCAGGACAAACAATCAGTGGTGGCAGAGACATAGACGCAGAAGCCATGTTCTTGAACAACATTGCCGAAGAAAAAACTGAGGGTGTCCCAGAGGATCCGCGTACCTCCTCGTCCGGTGGGCCTAGATGGAGAAGAGGGAACGACCAGATGTCGCCAGACTTGCCTCCGGTAGTTCGGCCAAGGTTGAAGAGATAGTAGATGACAGTGAGACAACCGTTCAATGACGAGGACAAGTGCAGCTGGCCTGTATTGTGCCCGCTCACTAAGCGGGAGGCCGCGGTTGAATTAGACAGGAAACTTTATTGTTTCTGACCTGGCGCGTGCAGCTGCGTGAAGCTCAACATGCTGGAGCCGTTGCCCTAAATGGGGCCAATACAGCTGTGACATGGTTGTACGTAGTGTGTGGCACACCGTGTGGAGAGCGTTCTATTTTGATGTCGCTGTGCAGAGCAGCTGTGCGCGGCGTCGGATCTTCCCAGGTTCGTCGAAGACCGATTCGAGCAGTGGGCCAAAGTCGAAATCCACTGGTCCACGAGCTGTGAGCGCCGAGTCTATTTTTACTCCTCAGGTCATTTTGCGAGTTGACGATCAGATCTTTCGCCCGAGGCCTTTTAAACCGTGCATCCTTCCGACTCAGTCGACTCAGGTGTTGCCGAGGAGTGCGGGACTGCGCCCAGTCCTGCCGCGAGGGTGGGGGACCCCGATAAGTAGGATCTGTCAAGAATGACTGCCTTGTCGCACTGCTGCTCTTGCTACAAGTTGTGCTCATTTGTCACGCATACTTGTACATGACCAAAGGAAGTTGCGTTTGGTCGTATAGCTTTTCAATGCAGACATCCTTGTTTGGTCAGTAGTCTTGGCATGAGCTTCCATTGAGCGTCAAGCATTTGTCCGTCTCTAGGTTCAAGAAAGGCATGTATTTAAGTCAAGAATGTTAATTCTTTGGCCATGTGTCTTCATCGCTAAAGGCGTCAAGCTTTAAAGACACCAATCACGTTTGAGGTCTGCTTGACACCATCCTTGTTGACGCGCACTTTGAGTTGACCGAAGCAAAAATAATGAATGCTTGGCAAGTGAGCGCCAAGAATCGTTTGGCGGCCCATCAGATTTTGCGATTGCAGAGCCGCCGCTGCCCGGCCCACTGGCTCGAATTAAGGATATCGATCGATTCAAGATGTTCCAGCAGAATGGGTTCGCACTCATGGTGTCACCAAAGAAGCCGTTCAAGAGGCAGTCGATTGGCTAGCCTAACAGATCAGATCAACAGATCAAGGATTTAAATACTGAATGCTAAGTTCGCGCGACTGCCGAGTTCATGTGTGAAACTGTAAGTTTAAGCCAATTGCGCGCCGATGAACAGTCGTTCCCCCACATAGAACAGAGTACGGGTTCACAAGCAGTGGTTTGTGTGCTCCACGCCAACGACCTTCAACGGCGAAGCCGCCGTGTCGAACTTTGCATCTGTTTTTGTCTGGAGCTGCTCAAGAGAGGTTTGATCAAATTAGTGTGGGTAGATGGACATCTTCAAGCTGCAGATATTGTCGCGAAAACATTGGGCGTTCCTTGAAGACGACGAAGTTAACTTCGCAGACCCCGGATCAGCAGGTGCTTCATCCGTCGTTGCAAGTTCCGGACCCAGATCCACCTGCAACGGTCAAGTCTAACTGATGGTATTTTTAAGCAAAGTGATCCCAAATAGACCAAACAAGATGGGTCACAAGATCCAAGCCAGTCGATCAGCGCAGACTTTCCGAAGTGTATTTATTGCGTGAAGCGTCTGATGGTTTCGATCGACCTGAGTACAGATTCGATATGATACTCTTGGAAGTTTGCCGCGCTTGGTTTTCTTGCTGCAGCTGCCTTGAAGATGATGTTTCGAACTTCCGACGTGAGTATTGGAAGTCGCAGGCTGCGTTGTCGTAAGCCTGTATATTGCAACCTGCCCAAACTGTGCGCGCGTGGTGGCCCCCAAGTGACAAGACTTTCCCTTTTCCGGCCAACCGTCCACATCTTGATCAAGTCTCGGAGCAGTTCGCAGAATGTTCGCGCGAATCTCACGCACCACTCAAGAAGCCAAGTGGTCCAACCGCGGGCGATATCCAGCGCAAAGGACTCCTGACGAGGCCAGGGGATGGATTCGTCGTGCTCGATCCATTTTGGCAGAGTCAAGCGCGAAGCGTCGGAAGCAGTCAGCAGTGGGGTTCAGAGCTTTTGCGCAAGAATGATTTAGCGGACTTTTCAGAGTTTAGAGATAAAAGTCCGTAATTCAAATTCCCGGTCAGCCAGATCTTTGGCGCATCATGGTTCTGCTACTGTAGTTTTCATGCCATGGCTGAGGGGTTACTATTTTGTCCCAGCGAAAGAACCCGAGGACAGAATAATCATAACGTTCTCAGCGTTGAATCTTTTGCGCACAGGAATCGCCATGAGCCTGCGCTGTTCATCTCACTCTTGGGTCGACTTGCTTGCAGGTCAACTTTGAAAGATGTTCGAAGCAGCAGTTGCGCATGTAGGAACTCACCTGGTATCTCAAAACGGGGGCTTGGAAATTTCAACAGTTGAACTCTTCATTCCAATTGAGATACCATGTTTATTGGCCGACCGGGTTCCACCGCCATATAGCGTTCGATCTGTTGCCTTTGACGTCCAGCCGGATGATCGTCGTATGCCCCGTGGTGGAGATGCAAGCGACACTTCAAGGAAAGGAGTGATCCAGAAGGTAGAAGGTCGGAAGTCTTGGTAGGTAGGCAGGTAGGTAGTTAGGTAGGTAGGTAGGTAGGTAGCCCCATTAATTTGGGCCGGCCCCGTATGCCAACTGCCCAAAACTGAAAGAAACCAAAGCGCAAATCTGAACAGACTGTCGGACTCCTCTTCCCTTTGTTCGGTGAAGGTCTCCAGCAGCTCCATTAATCGGATTCCTGTGACAGAAAATGGAAGGCTTTGTTTTTATTCTTTGGATTTTCCTTTTTGGTAAGATGAGGTAGCAAAACCGAAACTACGCGCAAAGGCTGCAGATGTTTGAAGCACCTCTAGGTTTTTGAAAGGGCGTTATGTTTTTGTTCTATCGTCGTGTTTCAAACAATCAAGCAGCGACGCCCACCACACAGACAGGTGCCGCACTCTCGTGACTGTTGCCAGGCCGGACGCCATCCAACCCTGGAACGGGTGCTCATAGAGTCGGAATCGCATTTTGAGCCAATGGATTTCTTTGTGGGCGAGTCTTCTCGCTTTCAACTGATCACTGGACACAATGGACACTTGGATGGCATAACTTGTTGCATACATCAACGCCAGACTAAGACTAAACGTAGGGAAACACAAACCAATCGGTATGCTGTGCGTACAGAATCTCTCAAGGATGAAACCATTCACGGGTATCCGACATGAACGCATCGTGACACATCCCGCATCAGACTCAGTAGCAGACATTTTTCTCTCAGGTGGCGGAAAGTCTACTTACTTGCAAACCTTGGCACAGCTGGTGATATTGGCTCAAAGCGGATGCTTTGTTCCGGCATACTCAGCTTCCCTCAGGGTCCGGCGACACAGCGCAACAAGTTTTGAAAAGAATGCGGGACACTTTTGAGCTGCTTCGTTTGTTTGTGTCCTTTGTTTGGTCTTTAGTCTTGCTTCCGTTTTGTTTTGTCATTGTCTCGTCCCAAGGTTTGCTCTTCGATCTTCACACGAATCGGAAGCAGTGACTCCATTGAAGCCAGTGCCTCTTCTTTTTCGGTGGAGATGAAGGACCTCTCTGCAGTTCTGCTGTTTTTTTTGTCGTGCCTCTTTCGTCTCCAACTTTGCAGGAAGCGTCCCATATTCTGACCAGTGTTTCCTGCGACAGTCTAGTCTTGATTGACGAACTGGGGCGCGGCACTGCTCATGTCCTTTGGCCTCTTTGAGACTGCGCTAAAAAAAGCGAACAAAGAACCTAATAGGAATGGCCTCCAACCTACTAGCGATGGCCTCCACCCTAGTAGCGATGGCCTCCAACCTAAAAGCGATGGCCTCCACCCTAGTAGCGACGGCCTCCAACCTAAAAGCGATGGCCTCCACCCTACTAGCGACGGCCAACCTAGTAGCGACGGCCAACCTAGTAGCGATGGCCTCCACCCTAGAAGCGATGGCCTCCAACCTAAAAGCGATGGCCTGTTGAATTGTTTTAGCGCCTAAGAGCATCGTGTAGACAATGCGAAACATTCCCACTGACCCTTCGCTCTGGTGCTTCGATGCAGCCTAGGCTGATGGATTGGCAATTTGCTGGGCCATGTGTGAGATACTCCTGGACATGGAAATCAGGCACTGACGTGTTCCAAACGTGTTTCTAATAGCAAATATTGTTAGGACTAGTAAGGCACTTGTTCGTAGTAGCGATGCACTTGTTCCTGTTGATGTTCAACTAGTCTCAAGGAACGATTTGACGTCTCAAGTAGATTATTTATGCCCTCCCTTCTTTCTTCCTTCTCCCGGATTCCATCTCCCTGTTCCTTTTTCCGTTCCTCTATCTCTTTCTGTTCCTTCCTTCCTCTTTTCCTGGTCCCTCTTCATCCATCTTTGTCCCGCTTCCACCGCACGAAAACAACAGCGGCAGCAATTAACCTAGCAACAAGTAGCATGTAGCCGCTCCGATAGGCGCTCAGATGGCCTGTCAGAGTTATCAGGATCATGGCGCAGGTAGGATTCAGAGGTGGTAGTACTACGTGAAAGTCCAGGCGTCTGAAACAGGTGCTTTCAGGAGCTAATTCCCAACGGCGGGCCACCAGGCCAACAGACGGAGCAGCGCGATCCGGTGTTCCGACTGCGTCTGTGTTGGCGTGGTTGAGCGGGTGATTGACGTTCTTGTGGCTGCGGTTCTGGTCAGGGTCGGGGCTGCGGTTGCGGTTGGGGTTGATGTTGTTGTGGTTGTGGTTTTTGTTGCGGTCGGGGTTGCACGGCTTTGACCGTCAAGGTCATTGGAAAAATTGCGCGCTCAGCGCATTGCTCTTGATCGTGGTCGGGGTTGCTTTTCCTGCGAGCCCATGTCACTTTCTTGCTCTGCCCCGCTACATCGTTGTAGACCGGCGTCGGCGTTTGTGCTTCTGTGGTGTGAGCGCATGCGGCCCCCCCGAAGGAGCTAGTTCAAATAAACCGTCGCGCCCATCGGTTTGTCTGCGTGGCTGGCTAGCACACTTCCGGCGCAGCAAACTTTGATGCAGTGCAGTTTCATTTGCAAGTTTCTTTTTGACGCGGCGTTTGCGTGTTGCATGTTGCCATGTCATGTACTTCACATGAAGCAGACAGCAGGTGCCTGTTTGCCACGCACTACTTTGAGCTTTGCCGCTTGCAGGTGTGGTCTTTTTTGCGAAATCAGTGGTTTTAGCCATGCTTGGTGTTCAGCGCGGGCATTTTTTTTAAAGCTCTTCACGCTTGTAAGCTTGTCTTAAGAAATTACACCGACATAGACCCCAGATAGAGGGCGTATAGGTTTGTCATCCCTGGTGTGACATGATGTCATTCCTGGGCATGACATGATGTCATTCTGGGCATGACGTGATGTTATCCCTGGACCAGCGCCAGCGCCAGCACGGCAGCAGCGCCCACAAAAGGAAACACCGATCCAGAGCCAGCGCCTGCACCAGCGCCAGCAAAGCACTAGCACCGGCAAAACAAAACTCTGATCCAGCGCCAGCAGCACCCGCAAAGCGAAACGCCGATCCAGAGCCACACCATTCAGAACCTCTTATGGCTTGCAGCTATCTGGGCCAAAACGCCGATCCACAGCCAGCGCCTGCATCTGCACCAGCATCAGCACGCAAGCAGCGCCTCCAAGACCAAAACGCCGATCCAGAGCCACACCATTGAGAAATTAGAGCCTCTATAGCCTGCAGCTATCTGGGGAATACATAGAGGCTGCTGGAAAGGTGGGAGTTCGATGTGTCGATTAGTCGCAGCATTTCAAGTGAACTTGTGAAAAAGGAACCACCTCGGTAAGCCACGCAAAGAACAAACAACATGCAGTGCGTGGCCAAATCCGCAGTTGCCTTTTAGTCCCTGTTGAAAAGGTTCAGCGTGCAGTCAAGTCCGAGATCAAGCGAGTGACGGACGGATGTAGATTTGCCGACCTACCTCCCCAGATAGAATGAACAATCGACGAGGGAACTTGCGCAGGATCGCGCGCTAGAAGCTGCAACTTCTTGCAGACTTCGCAGACACGCTCTAGGCTACTAAGCTTCGAGGCTTATCGAAGATGAAAAGGAGAAAGGAAGAAGAGGTGAGAAGGAAGGAAGGGAAAAGGAAAGAAGAAGAAAGAAGAGAGATACCCGCCAGCTATGATGCAAGCGTCCAGCCAGGAACAAAGACAAAGCTGACGAAGGGCAGAGAAGAGAGGAGAAACCAAACGAAGCGAAGGGAAGGGAAGGGAAGTGAAGGGAAGGGAAGGGAAGAAATGAGAAGAGAAGAGAGAGACGAGAAGAGAAGAGAAGAGAAGAGAAGAGAAGAGAAGAGAAGAGAAGA